AGATAGATAGATAGAGAGAGGGAGATCGATAGATAGATAGATAGAGAGAGAGATAGATAGAGGGAGATCAGTGGTGGCAGTGGTGATGTGCGCGCACACACGCGATGGTGCCGGGTGACATCGGACACGACTGCTTGTGTAGTTTAATAAACGATGGTTAGGGTTCACTCGCGTGCGACTTGTAGATGAATGCTTTGTGGTTGGTTATTATTATGCACAGAGAGTGGTGCGTATCTAGTGTTGTCGCTGATGGTCGGTTTCTGCTATTGTTATGGATGAATTTTGCACAGGGGAGAGATAGTGGGGGACGGCTCTGATTGGCTAATTTTCTCTCTTATTTATTTTATTTTATTTTTATTTTTTTTGACTAATTTTGTTTTATTTTAGAATTAGGGATAGGGATAGGGTTAGGGTTAGGGTTAGGGTTAGGTTTAGGGTTAACTGATTTCTATATCCACAACTTACTTCTATATTCACTATCTCTCCCCTGAGACCTACTTGTTATGGATTATGCTATTGCTGCTGCTACTGATGATTTTGCTACCGTTGCTGTTGCTGCTCTTGCTCATGCTGATGCTGCTGTTGTTGTTGTTGTTGTTGTTGTTGTTGTTGCTAATGCGGCTGTGACTGATGTTACTGGACGGTATAAAGTTTACATTGCCAATAAAAACCTGTGGAAACAGTTGATGAGCAACGTGAATATCTCACCAACGTAGCATGAAACACAGTAAACAAAGACGTAGTCGAAAAACACGTTTATAATGTGTACATATTAATAAATGTATTTACAATTCATCCTTCCGTGGGACAGTTACGTGTCTTCCGCAACTCACATCAATACCGAGAAAAGTTTTTACAAAAAAAACATCATCCAATAAGCTAAAACAGTCAGTCGTCTGTGACGTGTCCACGGCATTGATTTAGCTGTTTGTTATTATTTACGCTCGATTTTTTAATTTTACGTCCGATAATAAATAAACAATGGTCCGCATCAGTTCAGCTTAACAAGGCACTAGATTTTATTACTATGTTTACTAGATCTAACTAGATCCGGGAAAGTTCTCGAAAAGGTGTCACTGTGGTAAAAAAAATATAATCGAGCGCGCTTGTACACATGACGAGTAACGCAAGGCACGATCTAGATCACCGCGAACCACACAGAAGCAAACGCACTTTTCGATTATGAATCGCAAATAAGCTAAATACGATCACCAGCTTGTCTCAACTTGGTCCAGTTTTCAGAAATTCTCATGAATACTTGTGACGATCGCAAGTCTAAAATGTCGTCGTGTTTTGCGGGGGGCACTTCACGTCGCGACATTTTCGACAGACGACGTCGTATATAATAACCATTTGCGTTTCTGACAACAGGCTCCCTGGTTGTTGATCTGCATGCGTGGAACACACCACACACGTATTTCCCAAACGCTACAATTACCTCTCGCTTCCAGGCTATTTCACGCTCACCGCGATTTATGCAAACCCTAGACCCACCCACGCACCGTGAGAGCGGGCGCGCGATTAGCCGAGCACGCCGCAAAATTAGATCAACTCTACCAGTGTGTCTATGCGGTCTGTGGGATGGGGTTCGTGAACTTTGCCCCTACGGTACCACGCGCCGATTTTTGGTCACGCGGCTCTCTTTTGGAAGACCACGACGCGAGAGACGGAGGACGCTCGTCGAATAATTGCCCGGCTGTTTTCTGCGTGACCTATCTACGGCGAACAGACAACCCCGAAATTAAGCGGCCGACCGGCCGAAAGGTTCGCGGTGCATATTTTTAACAGTTGCTGTACACTTCCTGACTCTATGGATGGAGGGGGGGAGAGGGGAGGAGGCTATCGGCCAGCACGCGCACGAAAATTCGCAGCAGTTAAAAAATTCCAAGCGAAAACCCCTCGAGGGCGTGCGCATCGCCGTAGAGTGTGACGAAGCCTCTATGCGAGCCTTGAACGCGGGGTGGGTGGGGGTAAGGAGGGTAGGAGAGGGTGGGGGTAAAAAGGGTAGGGGAGGGTGGGGGTAAGGAGGGTAGGGGAGGGTGGGGGTAAGGAGGGTAGGGGAGGGTGGGCCTCACGTAGCGAGTGCGGGGATGCCTTGCGACCAGAATCGGTGGTGGGGAGGAAGAAGGGAGTACATGGCCATGGAGTAACATAGGAAGCAAACTTTAACCTTAGCATAAACGAGATGGAAGTGTCAGTCCCATAGTCACCGCAGCACATGATAAAGCCTTGATACGAGCTCTAAAGCTGCGTTTACACTATCGATTTTTGTCAGCAAATCGTCCGAGTCGTGGAAAATAGAACACGTTCTATTTCTCCAACTCGGCGACTTGACTCCGACTCCGACTATATAACACAATCGAATTTCAGCCGATTAGTTGGAATGCACTTGAAATCGGTACGATTTGCTGACAAAAATCGTTAGTGTAAACTCAGCTTAAAAGTGGTGTAGGATGAAGGACGATGGATGTGGATGGGTGATTCATAAGGCGTAACAAAAAAAATTGTTTGTTTCCAGTTACCCGACTGACCCTACCAAATAGTTGCCAACCCTAAACATTTTTGACCACTTTTAGAAATGAAAATCAACAAATGCATCGATTGGACCTTTAATATAAATTTAAGATGAATTTATTACGAAGCATAACCCTGCACATTGCGGCATGCAGTAGAAATGCAGCAAAATTTTTCAGCAAAATAAATTTTTTTACCTGCCTGCCTACCCTAGTTTGAAAAATCATGTAACCGGAAACAAACAATTTTTTGTTGTTGCGCCTAATCATGGGACGCGATGACATCTTGATACCAGCCTGGTGGAGGATACGGGGATACGAGGCAGAGGTTGGAAGACAGTGTCGAGGAATGTAAAAGTAAGGGAGAAGGTAGAGCATGGGGGAGAAGGTGGATGGAGGGAGTGAAGAATGAAAGAGCCTGAGGGAGGGAGGAAGGGAGTGAAGAATGGAAGAGCCCAGGTGAGAGAGGGAGGGAGGAAGGAAGGGAGTGAAGAATAAAAGAGCCCAGGTGAGGGTGGGAGAAAGGGAGGGAGGGAGGGAGAGAGGGAGTGAAGAATGGAAGAGCCCAGGTGAAGGAGGGAGGGAGTGAAGAATGAAAGAGCCTGGGTGAGGGAGGGAGGGAGTGAAGAATGGAGGAGCTCGAGGGAAGGAAGGAGGGAGTGAAGAATGGAAGAGCCCAGGGGAGGGAGGGAGGGAGTGAAGAATGGAAGAGCCTGGAGGAGCGTCGGGGAGAAGGATCACAGCAGCGTCTCGCGCTACGAGAAGATGCTCCGCAGCAGCTCCCCGTCGCCTCCGCGTGGCTTCCTCTTCGCCTTCTCCCCCTTCCTCCTCCTCCTCCTCGTCTCTCGCACCTCTTCGTCGGTCGCGCGCTGCGCCACGTCGACGCGCCTCTCCTCCCACGCGTCGCCGCGCGCCGCCGCGCGACGCTCGTGCGCGCTCAGCTGCCGTCCCTTCTCGACGTTGGTGGCGAACGCCGTCGCCTCGCGCTTCGCCTGCGCGACCTCGGTCCGCAGCCGTTGCACGTGCACAGCCTTCTCGTAGGCGAGCCTCTCGCTCAGGTGACCCCACTTGAACTTGGGCAGGTACTTGAGGCTCCACAGCATGTCGTGGTGGCGCGAGCGCTTGCGGCCGCCGATCAGCGTGTTGTTGAGCGTCGTGGCAACGCGTTTCGCGCGCCGCTTGTCGTCGAACTCGACCCAGCCCTCGGTGAAGCGCTTGCCACGACGACCGCGCTTCGGTCCTGGCCGCTCGTCCGGCTGCAAAGGCAGAGGGTGCCGCCGTTTAGCAAAAACGACAGCGGCGACGACGCGAACATTCGTAAGGAGAAACACGTTGTTAGAAGCGTTATACAGTTACTTAAGGGCTAATGTTAATGCTATGATAGCACTTATGACTAATGTTAATCTTACGAGAATAGCGTTGACAGAAACGCATCGCAGCTATGAGAATACTTACGACAACAGAAACTTTATCATTTGTTGTCACAAAGCTGCTGATTAGATGAGAATTTGTTGTATATCACAACTATTTATGCATATTATCAGTGATATTATATCTGGCTAACCACATATAAATAATATCTGATGAAAAAACGACAGTCAAGAATTGATGACAGACATGATTCTGCACAGCAACACAAGATGCAAGCATCATGACTCATCAAAATATCCAAAACAAGATAACAAATTCATTTCAACAGTTATTTTCACTTAGATTTAAAAGTTACGTAGGATCTCGTATTGTAAAAAGAGGAAATTTGTGGGGATTTTCCATTCTCGCAACTTCACAATGTTTCTGTCAACGATCTACGAGTCAAAGTTAATGTGAAGACTAATGTTAAGGCAATTTTTAACTGACAGCGAGTCCCTTGCCGTGACCCAGCCAGAATGAGATCGACATATTGATGAATATACGTAGGATGGGTAATAAAGCGCAGAAAACCACTGTGGCATTACGGCTAGCTTTGCTGTCGAACGGCAGCCGTATACAATGCAGGCATCACGGTTTTCGGCCCACATCTGCGCGCGCGAGTTAGACTGGAGCTGTATATGTAAATAATTTTTACTGCCGATCAGGCAGTTTTCTCGCGGCACCAGCCCAGTCCTAGTTTAGCACCCCGGAGTAGTTTAGCACATATGCGAACTATATTATGTACTCGGGTCCCATACTAGGATTGTCATCAAGACCTTGGCCATCTAGGTTTATTAGTCATTCACTGATATATTGACCTTTTTTGAGGCCATGCAGACATGGAGATAGCAGTGTAGCTCTAGGGCACAGCACTATGCAGCTAGAGCTATAGAGCTAATAAATTATACGAGAGTACTCTTAGTAGAAGTAAATGAAAGAAACGAATACAAACAGATAGTAACAACATGAACATGATCATGATGATGATTAGACCAATAAATTGTGCCCTAATATTTTTTATATTCTGATGTTATTTTAGGGCCCAATACCCTTCCATAGACAAAACCTGTGAATTTTGTCGTGCAAAATGCACGACAACCTTTTCACTATTTACGGCCGTGTTACATAGAAAACTAGACAGAGTGCACTCACGGAGAGTGCATACCTCCGCGAGCATGTAACATGTATGTGCTCGCTGGTGGCTGCTGCTGACTGACTTGCCTGCTGCTGACTCGCTGCTCACTGGTGGCTGCGACCTCGATGCGCCTATAAATCGCCGCGGTGGCTACACACACAACCACGCCGAGCGACTGCATGACCTCGGTTTGCCGCGGAGGTAATCAAAGAAGTACCTAAAGCCGTCGCTTATTAACATCTACCTACATTACAAACACTTGTCATCGCAGTTATTCTCCTCTTTAATCACGGTTTATTTTTATTAAAATATCACGACATCAAAATCACGCGCAAACTTTGCTACACACAACACTGCCCAATCCTTGATTGAAGCCGCACAATGCGACACTGTCTCACCGGCCAATGAAATCAAATACGCTGTCCGGTGCGGTTCAAATGCAAGATTGGCAGTTTTGTCTGTAGCGAAGTTTGCGTGATTTTGATGTCGTGATATTTTAATAAAATAAACGTGATTAAAGAGGAGAATACTGCATGACAAGTGTTTTGTAATGTAGGTAAGATGTAATGTTAATAAAGCGACGGCTTTAGGTATTTCTTTGATTTTCTATGTAACACGGCTGTAAATAGTGAAAAGGTTGTCGTGCATTTTGCATGACAAAATTCACAGGTTTTGTCTATGCAAGGGTATTGGGCCCTAAAATAACATCAGAATATAAAAATTTTTAGGGCACAATTTATTGGTCTAGATGATGATTAACCCGACCAGGCTGTGTGACTAACGTCAATACACCGCCTGACATCCATCCATTGAAAAATCTTGTAGCTGTACAAAAACTACCAAACAATTACGTATATCTCAAATAAAATGATCATCTAAGCATTTCTGCCTTGTTTTGTATCAAATATAACCTGTGAAAATCAGGTCCATTGCCGATTTTAGTTGCACTGAACATGGCAGACATGGCGGCTGTCTGGTTGTTTTGATCCAATTAATCTCAGAAAAATGGCACAACTCAATAAATAAGTAGCGCCCAGTAGCGCCCAGTTACCGCGAGCAAGCCAGAGGTTTATAGATTCGTTTGAGCTATTACATGTGACGCTAGCTGTGTCGATGGTTGGATACCGAGCCAACTACAAGGAATTGTGGGCAAGAATTTGAAACGGTATCTAACCCTAGCAATACCGTTTCTTGGAGCTAGATGATGATGGAATTGGAAGATAAATGAATAAACTCGAGGCGTTGATTGTGATATTGATTATTGTAGATAAGTGCATGGCGTAGTCTTCTTACAGTAAAACATACAATTTAAAAAACCGCGAGTGTTTTTAAGCTATTTACATTACCACTGACCTGTAGAAATATTCGTCCCACATTTCCTATTTTATCGAAAATCTCGCGAATTCGTTTTACAGTCATGAACGGTGGAACCGATGTTATGTACAGAATTCCCGGCTCTTTGGGTTTTTTATTCTTTTTTCTTGGCACCGTTTCTGTGTAAGTGTCAGTGTCGAAAGCTTCCTGTAGTTGCACATCAGAATCTTTAGAGATAAAATTAGACGCGTTGGAATTTTCTCCGTCAGACACTTCTTCTTGCTTATCCATGAGCGCAGCCATTATGGTTTGTGCCGCCCTCTCTCGTGTGCTTCCAAAATTTCTTGCCGCCTGCGGCTGAAGTGAAATTCTGAGATCGTATTATTCCTAGCACATCTCTCATCTATTAGTCAGGGGCGGATTCAGACCGTATTTGCCGTATTGGGAAATACGGTCTAGATTTTAAAGTGCCCTTCGAAATTTTGCGCTAAAAAATACAGAAAACAATTTGATGGAATTTGGCTATATTCTCTATTTGTTTTCTTTTTCTTCCGATTCATTGACAGGACTTGAAGGAAATCAAAATTTTACATGGTAACAAAACTAGCTTTGATATCTGAAAAAAAGGGAAGTGGTTGAATCATTCTGCATTATTTGCTGGTATGCAAAGCGCAGGAAAAATGAAGCAGAAATAAAAAATCCCATATGGTTTTTAGCTATTGCTGCTTGACTAAATGTGTGCTCAAATGGTGCTAATTTTTGTGCCCAGGGAACAAATAAAACACATAATTGAAATATGTGTTTACACAGGCCTTCTATCGCTAGCAAAGACCGTTTCTTGGAGCTAGTAGTGATACGCTTTCATACTTAAAGCCGCACAATGCGCATCCAAACGCTAATTTCTCCAGTACTAGACTAGCAAATACT